TTTTAAGGTACGCACTACTATCGACTCACTTTAGGATGATGGGATCTCCTTTTTTGCCCAGACTTCTGAAAACAAAGCAGTGAGTTCTCGAACCAGCGAAGAGCCCCCGTCTTTAAATGGAGCAGGAGGTGGACCGTTAGGTCCGAGTGCCTTATAACACTTTAGGTGACAGAGTTCCCTTTAGATTTCCCAGTGAGGGAGGATCAGTGGGGATAGTCCACTCATCACCATTGCGCGTCCCAGGGGAAACGGGTGAAGTTGGTGGACAGGAAAATTGCGAGCAAAAATGTTCGGCCCATTGCTCCAACCGTCGTTGAAGATTAGTGATTACGGAGGCATCATTTTTGCAGATTGTTTCACTTACTCCTGATCGGAAGACTTCGCTGACTCGGATGAGGTGGAACCGTTTTCTGGTCTTACTAGAGAGATTAACAAGTTCAAACTCTCTAGCGCTAATCAGTTGACGCTTCAAATCATGTCTTGTTGTCGGACTATCCACCTGTTTGCTGATCGTTGCATACGAGCAGTTTTCCATAATCAGTAGCACCTATATCAAATGAATAACCAATTGTTAAGCTCTACTTTCGGTCGGGACATATCACTATTTTACTTGCACGCAGCTGTGGCGAGCAAACCATTTGCAATAAGTTACACTTGTGCTTTAGGGGAAATCCTTGGTCTGGGGCTAGTTTCATATCATCATGTGTATTGCAGGACCATACTTTATGTGAGTACCTCTGAGCTGTTTCGGTCGCTGGCATACAAACTCGTGATCGTAACGAAAATTGCCTTCTCATCTCACTATGCTTTTACGTTACCACGTCAAGACGATCATGAGTGCCCTTTCTCCTGTGTCATTTTCTGATAGACACTGACGCATTGTGGTGTATCTCGTCAGCTTCTGCTCGGATTGAACTGGATCCGAGCATTGAACACACGTACTTATGCGATGAACTGAACGATAGTGATACTCTCACTTCTATGCTCGAAGATGACTGGATTGATCCGTCGCTATTTCTCACTACTACCAGACGACCATCTGAAGTGGTCGATTGCGTTACCTATCTGCATAGCTGTATCATCCCTGGCAGTCGCATCACCGACGATCTAGTTAGTACATGTATTTGTTAAGGGTCGTGTGATCTTACGAAACTGTCACGTTTGGAGACGTTGAGGCAGAAATTTATTAGTTAAGGGAATGTTTTGCAACGTTTCCGTACGAACAGCGTTATCTCATGAATGACAAGCTTTGCTGCTACCTTCTATGGGATTGGAGAGACTGGTCATTCTTGACTTTCGATGCCTTCGAACTATTGCGCATGTTTACTGGGAGCACCTATCGTGTTACTCCTGTAGTTCACCACCTGATGTTTGAATTCCTACTGCTCTCGAATCACCTCCAATGTGCCACTCATGTGGTCCACATGCTTGCAGGTGTATAATGTTCACCAAATACTTCACCTAGTTGGATGGAATCCCGGGGTGACCCATCGATGGCAGCATGTGGAAGGGGTATACAGGCACCTATCTAAACCTCGAGTCGAGTTGATGTTTGCCGTCCTTCCCGGGAACGTCCACATCATATATGAAGCGTTCACAAAGGTGGTTGAGATCCCGGATGTTCCATCTAATTATTATATTTCTTGTTCATAAAATACCTCTTGTATCTGTAAGCTTACTACTAACACCGTTTCATTATTGTTCTTACTTTTTTAAGTGAATTCACTGCACTTCATCGCACGAATACAGGTTAACGAACTAAACCGGATTAGACCGGCAATGACGGGTTTTTCACCGTTACTGATATTCTTGTACTTCACCACACAACGTAGCGTCCTCCTTCCTTGATAATCCGCCTTCCTAGCGCTTGCTATCCATGAATGTGGTATCGTATCAAATGTTGGAGGCCATTGACCGATTGATTTTACCGTTGCGAACCATACACTCAGCAGGATTGTGACACTCGTTTGCCATGAATCACATCATTGACTTTTTTGGTTGACTACGTTCGCGGCGGATTCACATGGTTTTCGCTTCACCGTGACTTCGAACACGCGTGTAACGTGCCTCTCTACCCGCTGTGTCTTGCCAACTGTCCTTCTGTCTCGATTATCCGCTCGTGCCCATCGATTTCTCCGCTTGCGCAGGCGTACCGCGACCTCGCGTTGGAATGCCAAGTGTTTATTTGTCTTTGTGTGCGAGTTTGGCTCATTTCACACAACGAAATACGCGCGTCTACACGCACACGCACACACACAATGCTTACTGTGAATCGCTATCGGTCAGTTATTGTGTTCATTTGCCTTGTCCTCGTGCAGCTTATCGGCTGAAGCAGTGTCGAGTTTTCTCAGGACAAATGAGTGTGTCTTGGATGTTTCCATCGTTGATTACGTTGAAATATCCGGTGAACTACGCATGTGCATTTATTGGGATCCATCGATTTGTGGCCAGTGGCCAGGGGGGAATCATACGGAAGTATCTATTTGTCAGGTGCGTTTCCGTTGAGCGTTCTCCAGACACAGTTGCTGAGTAACTGTGGCAGTCCGATGAACTTTTACCCTGGAGTGCATTTCTCCTTTTCTCTAGCGTAGATGTTTGAGCATACACAAAGCACAACGAGCCACACACCATCTTAAGACACATATTATGTCATACGTCGATGCATTGTAGCATGTTTTTCCGCTAACCATCATCGATTCATTGTGTTGCTTTGTCACTGACCCCTTTCCCTATGAATACGTGCGCATAGCTGATGGTATGGAACTCGCCAAAGCTCGGTGGTTTATATCCCTCATCTAGTAACTTGAATTTTCTTACGTTCTACATTCGTATTTCGTTTTGACCAGCTTCATTTACCAAAATTCATACACTTGTCTATACGCGCAGCATATCTGTCTTGTACAGTTGTCTCTTGCAGACTACCATAAATTGTCAACTTGCCTAGCTTGTGCTCACTTTGGTCAACACTCAACATGCTGTATGCTCTCTCATGGCCTTCATGGGACTTTGGTGGCCAGTCACTGTATTTTTCCCCAACCATACTGTCCATTATCCCCATATCCACTCATGGCGTTCGGCTATTTTTTATGTGTATCACCTATTCGACTAATTTCCACCAAGTTTGTGTTAACCCACTGTATTTGCCACAATGGACGTCCCCTTCGTCGTCCGACACTTACAATCACACCCTGTTCTCTGTCAGGAGCAGAAGTGCTAGCATCTGCTAATATTCGTCTTCTCATTTCATTGTTCAAACTACTGAAGGGGACTAACTGTTTTAAATTTCCAAGCGACGAATTCCCCCCGAAACTATCCGTTTGCTGCATCAGAAATTTGTTTGAAGAGAGATTCATTGTATTGCGTGGGCAGGATATTGTTAGGTTGCCCAAGCCTAGGCGGGAGAACGATTAGGGTTCTCAACCAAAGCCTTTGCTTCAAAAACCTGACCGCAAGGCAAGTTTGTTTTAAGGAATAAGGAGCCATCCTCATTGCAACCGCAGTCTGCAGGACCCGGAGGCTAAGCTTGTCTGGCCTCTAACCATTGAGTGACTCTGAAGGTGCAAAAATGCACCACCCAGCATAGCTCAATGGATCACTGAAGCACACAAACCATCACACCACGATAAGGTCCAGCCTCATTGCGAACGGGGGGTCACCACCACTTATCAAGTTATCATGTTTTGAAATAATCCAGATTACCTACAGGTTAGCTTCGTGATTCGGTTTCAGATGTTTCTGCACCTTTCTATGGGATATGTGGAGCGCGCTTTTGTGAGTGGTAGAGCAGTGTTCAAATGCTTTTTTATAGATAACTGACTGATTTATAACAATTCAGCCGCAGTTAGCTCATGAATATCGACTGGCTACTCAGTACGTGAACCTGCGTTGTTTATGCTGTTGATCATGTGGCACCACGCTCTCGATGAGGCACAACAATCCCCTGGTAACCCAAGTTAGCGAATATTCCATGATGTGGATACCATTTTCTTCTAATTTTACCCGGTGAGCGCCAAACCAAATTCGGACAATTGGGCGTTCCACAAATGGCGTTTCATCTTAGTATCCTGGTGTCCTCCAACTTTGACTAATCTAGGAGGCAGTTGTCGATGTTTCTCGTATAACCTTTTGTGTTGTCGTAATTTTCTTGTTTCTAACCTGTCCGACATTTCATTTTACTTACGTGTTCGGCTGGTCTTGCAGATAGACTACCTTATAGACGGCTCGGAGCCTAAAGATAAGAAGCTTGTCTTGTAATCTGACGGCGCGAGTTCGAGCCTGCGTAGCGGCAGGGCTACCCTCGCAATATCCTTAGCTCACATACAAGCGGTGAGTGTTGCGCGGCAACGAAGCGTCGGTACTGCGTACCGGCGTACTGCTGATGCCTTAGGCTACCTTATATGCGCTAGGAATTTTTAACCCCGTAATTACATCGTACGTCTAACTACGTATTTCGCTAATGTCGATTGAGTGCCGGGTCATCCGATGCTTCAGCTACTGACTCCATGGAAGCGTTGTTTGTTGCTTGGGAGACAGGATGCGTAGCTTTGGTGATAGCGTTTCCTTCAAAGATTTATTCTCTGACGGGACCAGTCACATCCCACTCACCACACTGTTCGCATATGTAGCCCTCAGTCGGACAAAAGAGACTAGCTCTTGTTCTCCCGCTAGTCGGATGACCCCACAAATTGCGCCTAGTGCATCGTCTACGATGCACATTCTCTTCTAGCCTTCTCAGAACTCATGAATGAGGTATCTCCAGAAGTAAAGCTATCTTCTGCATGTCCTCAGCTTGCTTATTTGATTTACATCGGCTACAACTTGTAAGTAACGCAGCACATACCTCCCATGGTCGTTCCCTAGAACCGGGCTTTCTGTGTTCATTCACATATTCTGATGTGTCATAGTCCCTTTTTTGTTACACCCCGCTACTCCCTGCTTCTTCCTTGCTGACAAAGTTCACTCTCATTGCCATTGTGTGCTCCACCTCCGTCCAAAACTAGCTGAAAGAAAAGTACTATAAAGATGTGAAAAACGCCGGTCCCAAATCGCGCATTCTGGAAGGAATCACTCTCGATGATGAAGCTAACGGCCTGAGCGATGAGGCCACGTCGCCAGTCGTTAGTCCACGAGGCACATTGCTCCGCTTGGATCCATACAACCCACCAGCTGTGGAACCCGGTCACGTTGTGGTTGTGGGTGCAGCGAGCAAAGGCATTATCAACCGAGACCAACGCCACAATGTCGGAGTCTATCAGTCTGTCTATTCGCCCAATCCGTTTGACCATGTGACTGATGAGGATTTGGAACGCTATCGAGAAAATATGGACCGTAAAGCTAAAGGTCTACCGTCTTTGGAGGATGAAGAAACCGCACTCCGCATTGAGCAAGCCCGCGAGGCAGCCGAAGTCGCTCGTAAGGCTATGGAAGCTGCTGCCAGCCAGCCACAGAAACGTAAGTTCACAGCTGACTCAACTTTTTGTTTGTTAGACTCTTATGCTACTTGGGAAGCCATGCGACTATGATATCCCTTAAGGCAAATTGTTATATGTCTAATACTTCGCCTCCCATCCCGTGAGTAAGTACGCAGCCCGTTGTGTAAAGACTCATGCTTTACTGGTAGGGGAATTAGAACACACCTGTTGTCTATTCCTAATGTATACGGATGGTTCTCTCTGATCTTTGTCGCGTTTTCATTCACATAGACATATCCTGATCTGTATCCACTCTGAGACGCCCAACGGTTTGTTACCGTTCCCGCCCTCAATCATGTTCGCTTTCTCGCACTCAGGGGTGTGTTTCTGGTGGACGTCATGGTAAGTGTGTTATCGAGACGACTCACGCGTGAAATGCACCATCACATCCAGGTCGGTACTCATTGTGCGTGATTGCGCTCCTGTCCAAGCTGAAGGGCTTTTCATCCCGTGCGTTCTACATTTTCATCTCCACTCCGCGATGTTCATCGTTTTGTCTACTCTTCTCAATTCTAAATAAATAAATAAGTAAATATTTATTCTCGACAAATCCAGGCACGCCTTTTAGGCATAATCAGAATAACACAATGTTGTGCATGATAGCATAATGAGTAGGTCCAAGATGTAGTCAGTAGTGTAGGCTCACATGGCCCCAAGATTGAATGAAGTCTAGCCCCGCAGAGTGCGAGATGTGAAGATAAGAATTACAGTGATCATTGTAGTGCAGTATGTTGGTGAGGAACTGGTCCGATGAGGTTGTCTACGCAGTGCGGGTCAGGTGAATGAAGCATGAGGATCCATCTGTTAAAGCGTTTTAAAAGTAGTGGCATTTCACTGATCAAGCATGTAGGTGGTCATATGAGCAGATATATGCACAGAACTTGTGAAATTTGGTATCGGTCAACTTGCCAGTGTGTGGTAGGGGCAGTGACTTTATTGTGTGGCGAGTCACATCCGCCACCTCGCAGACATTTGTGGCTTTTTTTTAGGGAGAACGCCTTCCAGGCGAAAGCTCACCACGTCCTGGAACACTGACTTGTTTCTACCCCACTACATTTTTCTCTTTTTTCATCGCTTACACATAAAACTTAAGCAACATTATTGATGCAACTCATATTTTGACTTTAGCTGGTGGCGAGTCACAACCGCCACGTCACAGTGTTGTCAAACGGACATTTGTGGCTTTTCATAGGGATAACGCTTGCCTGGCGCAGACCCACCACGTTCAGGAACACCGCCGCCGAACTATTTGCTGAGGCGGATAAACCCGAACCACGCAGCTGGTACTACGGGGAGGTTATTCGCCTAGCCAGCCACTTTTCCGGGCGCTTTTTTTCTTTAAACTACTTGCATCCATTATTAAGCTTCACGGTTATAACAATTTTCCTCAGCCTTGGCGCAATGCTACATAGTCGATCGCCGTTATCAGTTCTGCGAGTGCCATGGCCGTATTGACCACTGAGTTCACGTTCGTCAACTTCAAGTCTACCGATCTACGCGTTCAAGTCGTCGGTGAGCACCACGATGTCGGTACGGCGCTGTTTACGGAGTTGGTTCGCCAATTAACCATTAAACTCATCTTTAACTGACTCAGGGCTGCACTCTGTGGGAGCGTACGATGCGACAATGAATAGACAGCGTCTGCTGGCTTCGCGTCTGAACAGTCGCATTGAGGTTTCAAGTCGGATCGCGCATAGTCGACTGTTGACAGACACTTAGTTTAGTAGGGCGGCCTCAGCGCGTATGCTCAACGCGACACACGCGCCAGTATAACCAGCGGCTTCGGCGATTGAGTTTCCTGATAGGCGCAAAGTATAAATGCCAGTGGAATTCGCAGACGGTGAAACTGGTCGCTGGGTCGTTCTCGAGTCCTGTAAATGGGTCTCGCTGAGACAGCAGACATCAGTAGGCGTATTTTCTAGAGTGCGAACAATTGCTGTCTGTGATCCAATTTGCATCAGCGTCCGAACACTGAAGGTTTTCAGCTTGAATTGGAAACGGGACGCTAGATATGGCTTATGGACACGACTAAGCGCATCCTCGGAGCTAGGCTCCCGATCCGTATGGCGAGAACGTTCGCCCCAGACGGCACGGTGTTGTGAACAAGAAAACGGAGGAGGAAGATTACTAATGGTGGATTAAACAAATGTGGAATAAAGTGTTTAAACGGTGGTCTGGTAAAAGGTGGTTTGGCAGGTTCAGCCGCCAGCACCTCGGCCGATGAAAGCAGTTCGAGAGAGTGAGATCAGATAGAGCGAGCGTAGAATTGTTGAGACATGGATCCATAGGTTGTGTGGGCATAGTACTTCCAGATTGCCCAGGCCGTGGAACAGTGTTGAGTTAGGGGGCCCGCCTCGGAGCCTTGGGTCATAAAGACCTGCACCTGTACACGAACAACTCCGTGCGACTCCACGACCTCGTAATTGCACGACATTCTGAGGTCCACCTGATCCTGCTGTAGGCATTCTCGTTGATACGGATCTCCATCATGCGATATGCAATGCGGAGGTCTCGTTGCATACACGACAAAGTACACCTTTAGTGTGGATGCTACGCAGCGTTTCGAAACTCAATCGGTACTCACCGTACCTCGGCTGATTACTGTCCGCTAATTGTTTGGTTGCCAAATTTCAATCATGTTCCTGTGTATCTCTTTTCTGAATCTTCGTCGTTCACCGCAACAACAAAGCGGGGCACTGAAAATGAGCTGTTATCAGTCACCGAAAGTTTTTATATTTTGTTTCCGGCACTCTCGAGTATGAAATTATTGTTCTTAGTTTATTGTCTCCTACTGAACTATCATGCATGTGGCGCTTCTCTTTCCACGTTTTCTTTCACTGATCCCTTTATTATTTTGTTCAAGTTTGATTATCGTTATCATCCCACAACGGCGTTAACATCACACACCGCTCTTGTTGATCGGCAGATAAGTTCCGTTTGCGCGCGAGTTTCGGAGCAGGGGACAGGGATACTACTTTTGGCGCAATGGGCGCCCCAGATCAAAGCAACACCCTTGCGGATTTGCCTTCTAGTCTACTGTGCTCCAGCAACACTTCTGCTTGTCTAAACGAAACCGATCAAGGCAATTTTTCCCACATGAGCTCACAGTACACTTTAGACAAGGATCTGAACTCGAACGGCGCTCACGTGAAATTTTCCAGCGTTAGCATGAACACACTTCCGAGTAACTTGGTGGCACCAACTTCGAAGAAACCACTCATTCGGCGCCATAGTGCGTTTCGCTTTTGGAACCAACCCAGGCTCCATCCTCAGTTTGTTTCAGCCGCCATTACCGACACTTCGGAATACTCGGCAGACTCATGGAAGTATTTTTCTACGCACACTCTTGCTACTCGTATATTGAAGCGACACAAAACGATGCACGGATTGACTGACCTGTTTCACGTGCATCGCCCGTCTCCTATGCGAGGTTCGCGTCCTAGTGTTAGTCAAGCGTTTGGTCCGTCTGGTGGCACAGGTCACTCTGACAAGGATGAACACAGTGATCATAGTCCACCCACTGTCTCAGTCTCTCCAGAGCTCTCCCGTGGCTTGCATGCTGGACGATCGCCTCCTTCTTGTAAAAACACATCAAGTAAATGCATCAGTCCCACAAGCCTCCGCTTCATCAGTTTGTTTTCGTTCGGTTTTAACGTGTTCGTTTGCGACCATAGTTTGACCGTTCTGCGCACCGTCAGCGGTGCTAATTGATCTGTTATTCATTTCGCATTTTTATCCACCTTCCAGACTCTCGGCAAACAGAACTCACGGATGTGGACACTTCTCGTGCCGGTCAATCGTACACAAGCGGCGCTGAAGCCAGTCACGACGATACGGAAAAGGAAGTGAGTCAGTTGCACACAGAAAATTGTATGCGGCTCTCGGCAACCATTTATTTTGACGCTTACTGTGTGATAAGTGCATGCTTGGGCACTTGGTAGATGTCTGATTGATCCAGGTCATGGAAACTCTTTTGCTTCTCGGCCTTCGTCCATCCAAAGTTACAATGTACTTAGCCAGCCTTTTAGTCCGTGTGTGTGTGTGTGGAAGGAAGGGAGATAGCCCTGTACTTCTCATGGTTTACTATGCCAGTCAGCGATTATATATATATATATATATATATATATATATATATATATATATATATATATTCAGCATTTGACTAATAAGCAATTGGCAGAATGCCACAGCACATGGGTAACACTGGGGGGGGGGAGGAGAAATGTCAGTCAGGAGATGGTAGTCGCATAACACAATCGCCACTGGGTGGATTCCGGGCAAATCCGATAGCGATTCCAACCGAGTGTGCTCCCTGTATTTAGGCCCCTAATCAGGGAATCTGGAAAGCCCCATTGTGGCCAACTGCAATGTCATTGCCTCGAAATCCAGGACTTGAGATTGTGTTGATCACCTTTCCGTCACTCCCAATCAAAGCTGGTGCATACAGACAGTGCGCGGCTGGGCAACCGTTGGGCAGGTATACGGAGGACGTGCCCTAGCCACCGGAGCGCACGGAAGCATATTTTGTAGCCCAGTGGTCTGACTTTAAGATCCGATGTCGAATCTCATCATTAATAATTCGATGCTGTCAACGTACACCGGCGATACTCCAGAGGCAGCCTCGATCAAAAGCAGACAGATTCTAGACATCGCTCGCTCGAATGGACCAGGTCCCGCAGCCATACAAGATCATTGTTTGTCCGTAGCGTTGTAGACTCAACCTTCTAGTGATAAGCTGAGATCACGCGGACGTAGAGATTCCTGTGTTTAGCAAAAGCTACTGGCTTTGGTGATGCGCAAATGCATCTCGTCCGTCAATCCGCTCATGCTAATGCAACTCTCAAGTTAAACGCACTTGTCTGCTACTTCCATAAAAGAGCCGGAGAGGGTGAGGGTTGATCTAGCTTCTAACCAGTCGTAGGAGAAAACCTTGCACTTAGAAGAGATATAGGGCATTCCGAACTGTGAAACCTACGCAGCATGTTCTGGGAAGTCTGCGGGGGATCGCAGATTACGGCGATGTCATCAGCATACTCCAAGTCATTGAGTCCATCACCCTGGAATAACTTGGCGCCACCAGACCCACAGTTTCACGGAACACCTTCTAAGATGTCATCCATAGCGAAGTTAAACAATGGAGTATGATTCGGGTCAACTGTCTCACGCCACTGGTAATACTAGGGGGGACAATTCGTCGTACACCCGCCCTCGGCCCGAGGTTTTAGAATAAATGGCTTGAAGTCTGTTCATATACTTCACGTGCACTTCCCTACTAAGCAGATAACTTCAGAGAGCAACTCTCTCAATTGAGTTAAGTGCTGCACGTGTGTCCAGGAAGCAAACGATGGTGGGCCGGTTGAAAGCTCGACTGTGTTCGACCCTCTGGCGGATTGTAAACATGTGATCAATACAGCTCCGACCTGGATGAAACTCAGCCTGTTCTTCACGTGTGTGTGCTGTTCACCTACTCGACTGAGCCCCGTAGGAGTAAGGAGGCGAGCGCTTTGAACACAACGCATAGGACGCTGATCTCTCGTTAGTTGGCACGATTCCTTTGATCACATTTTTTTAAACATTGGCACAATGTTCGCTAGGCCTCAATCGGGTGAGATGATTTCTGTGTCCCAAATCTGAAGGAGAGTGGTCAATTTAGCAAAGACAGACGTGCGACCATCTCTGAAAATAACCCGAGACAATTCTTTTAAACCAGGAGCTTTGTGACACTTTATAAGACAAAGCTCACAGGCAACTTCGGCTTCAGATTGAGCACCATGGGTACAAGAATTGCAATGTTGGCCAGTTGAACTGCTGTTCCAAGTGCTTAATCTAACCTACAAACCGGCATTGGCGATTGTGAATTGGTTCACTACTGGTTTCACGTATCACTTTGTTTAACATTGGCTTCTTGACAACGCTGGGTCGGATAAGAGAGCAGAGCCTACGGAGGTTTCCCTAGGATGCAGTTACTTTCATCTCGATGACACGCTACGTCCACCAAGCTTCGCGATCTTCCCTGAGAAGCTGTTTGAGCTCGTCGTTGGTAACTGTGCAATGACTTATACTCAACACTAGCAGCGGTGGTCTTCCATGAGTTGAACAAATCGAAAACTCATCCATTGATGGTATGCTTAGTGGAACCGCAGTTGATGCTATCAGACTTGGGCACAGCAACCCGGATATGTCCAGTGTGCCTCAACATTTGAGAATGAAGGAGGGCTCTTCATATTTTAAGCTAAGGAGTTTTCAAAGGCACCGAGAACATTTGGAGCGACAACTCTGTCCACAACAAGTTGTTTCCGATGACGATGTTGGGCGCCACCGAATCGGAGGACACAGACACATGCACAAGTGCGTGACCAGAAGTGAGCCAAGTACAATCCGTTATACAGCCGGTGAAACAGCGTAACATATCACCATTTATTCACATCGGCTGTCAGCATTCCGCATGTCTTTTAGTCTCCTCGGTGTTTCCCTTTTCCACACCTTACTGTTCTCAAATCTTGGCACTATCACATAAATTGTAAACTCTTCAATAGTTATCACTGATTCACATTCGCTTGAAACGACTAACCCAATGAAAGGCATTCAACAGACAGACACGTCGTTAAACTTCCCACTTTTACGCTCACAACTCACATACGAACCGGTTGAGACACTGTTAATGCGTGGCTGCCAAGTGCGTTCGCAGTGTAAATGCCTATGTTGACAGATTGATTGTATACCGGCCACACCATCTGCTTAACTGGGACTAATACCGACTTCCCATCAAATATCTACTGTTCGCAAGCATACATTTTATCTATATTGCACGGTGCGTCTCACCTTATATGCACTTATGGTAATCTTCTTTATCTGCCTCGTATGCTTTTTGAGGATCGACTTTCTTCAACGCCACTGCTTAAATAAGATTTTTCTATCTGTATTGTTGCTGGGGACTTTAATAGAAAGGATGCAACATTCTTGTGGCTTGGTAGACCTAGTGACTGTTTAGACCGGACAAGATACCCAGTTGGACGCTGTGTTCACAAATAAACGACAGTTGTTGGCCACACAAAAGTGGGCACCTTTGAGCAGCTCAGAACATTGTATGTTAAACCTGTGTTCAGTCATATACAGCAGTTCTGATTTTTTAACCCTGACCAGACGTCCTTACAAGATTATCAAACGGTGAAATTTCTCCTTGGAAAATATCACGCGGCTCCAGACGATGTTTTCGGTAACTGATTTTTCGGTCTTCAACAATGAGGACCTATCGCTCAAATGTGACCAGCTTACGGACTACATCAAATATTGCTTTGACAAGTGTTGTCCTGTTGAAACGATATATCTAGGAGCAAATAGATTTTCATCACCACTACTAAAGCGACTTCGAAGGATGAAAGCATGGGCTTACAACTGTTGGAATGCTACCCGTGTCAAAAACCTAACCACGACATTTAAATCCGAGATAAAAAGGCTACGTCGAAGCAGTTCTAGGAAACCATAACTGTCGCGATCAATGGAGGCTTCTGATGCAGCTCCGTGATGAGAGCGTTTGCAGCCAGAGCGGTGAAGTGGATGTGGATAAACTGAATTCTGAGTGTAGTTCCGCCTCACTAAACTCATCTTCCTTGTCCTCCTTCATTAGCTCAAATCCAACCGTTCCCTTCGATCAAATCAACCTTCACAAGGAACTCGAAAGATTAAAGGCAAACTAAGCTTGTGGTCCGGATGCTTTCTCACCATTAACTTTGAAGGAGTGTGCTGATTCTCTCACACCGTCTTTAACAGAGCTCTTTAACAAATGCCTCACCAGTGAATTGGAGAACGGCCAGTATAACTAGTACAAAAAAGGATCTCAATAGTATCGCCCAATTGCATGTAAATCCATGCTCTTAAAAGTTTTCAGAACACTGTTAATTCCGCGTATTTGTTCAGCCGTTTCTGAAGATGCTATCTACCAATCTGCATATAGACCCCAGCGCTCCACATTGAATGCACTGGCATATCTTCTTCATTCTATAGTTTCTGCATTAAATCACATATGTAAGTCCGTATGTCTTCTCTTCCTGGATTATTCGAATGCCTTTGAAGAGCCTGGATAGATCAATGTTGATAAACCTGCCATCCGAAAATGGAGTTCACCCTGGTATGTGTAATCTGTTACGTGACCATTTTACAGATCGTACTCACTTCACCAAGTTGAACGGTAAAAAATCCTCTGTCCTCCTTGCCGACCGTGGTGTTCTGTAGGCAGCGATCTTATCACCTTTCTATTTTCCTTGTATGTTGAACATCTCCCTATACAAACCACGTTTATTGGGTGTAAATACGCTGATGAGGTTGTGCTGGGATCTATGGCCACAAATAACGAGAATTCCTCATCACTTCCACGTGATTTGGAATGTCTGATCAAATGGTCTTCATCCAGATCTCTTATGCCTAATGCTTCTAAATGCCGTGATGTAATATTTTCTTTTCTACGTGACGATAAGTTGTAGTCTCTCATAGCTTTCTCCCCCGCACTTACTGTAAATGAAAATCCCATGCCGAGCTCTTCCACTGTCAAGTATCTCTGCGTTTTTTGTCCAAAAACCTTTCTTTATTCGCGGATGTCTAAAATTTTTCAAAGCCAGAAAATTTTCTTTCTATATCCTCAAACTTAAGATGATTTCAATACCTCACATTATTCTCCATTGGCTATACTGCTCTTCTGTCGTTTTCTCTGGACTGCTTCAGAAAGACTACATCTTATTGGTACGATCTATGAAACACATTTCTAGATGCAGCGGCTTTTCTAAAGACTCTTTAGTTGATGTAATCATTTCTAGACCTTTTGCCGCCTGCATTGATTTTTCTTCCAAGATACGAACTAATCGATTTCATCCACTTCACAATGATCTTTCCAAAACGCTCTCTTTCTCATCTACTCGTTCGAAATTCAGAATTTTATTCTTCCGCACGTCCTCTTATTGTAATGCTGGTTTGCCTTATCTCTCACATTTGCTTGTTGACGCAGCAAAAGTCACAAACATGTTGCGCAAGCAATTGTTTGAGTAACAGTACTGCATTCTTCCCACTTTTCTACCCTAGCATGTATATTAATCTTGTCACCTAGATGTCCTCAGTGATACTGTAAATGAACCCATTACGGTTCATAAAGTTTAGTTTGACGACTTCATTTGATTTATCTCACCTTGTACTCCTCTGGTCTAACGAGTTTACTCCGGTACCTTCCCTCCCTCCTATTTGAACCTGCAACTCGACTGTTCGCCTCATTACTTTGCTGATCGATGCTTACAAATCGGCACTTGTTTTTACACTGATATCAACCGATCTTCATGTCATTTTGCTCGTCTACTGTTAGTATCCAAACGATCATTCGTTTATTACTCTTGTTTTTCTCCCTCTCAACCACAGACCCACAAAGGGGAACTCGATGGAACGGAAACGAAAAAGAAACGCCGTTTTAAGATGCCCTCGTTTGCCAGGAAGTCCAAGCCGAAAAAGGCGCAGTGACCGAGTGGATGGCGCCTCACTCTTTGATTCCGCTTACATTCTAAACGCTCTTTATCGTCATCGCTGAACATCTCATGTGTCTGCCGCCTCAAGCTACTTCTGATACAGCTATCCTTCCAATCGTTTTCGTTTCGCTGCACGTTGTTTTCTTCTCTCTACAGGCTATCGATATTTTATTTTCCGTTTACAACCCACCTCGTGCTTACCTTTATTTTACTAGCATACGCGTTCCTCGAACTGATGCTTGTCCTCCGCCTCTCCGTCTGTTGAATATGTCTGCAAAACCGAATCGCTTCCTTGTCATCTTTGTATTCCTAGTTGTTTTCACAGGCACTGCCCAATCACCACTCCTTCACATGTGCATTCAAGCGTACGCTTGCCTTTTCCCTAGATGCGTAATATTCACACGCTTTCACTGGTCTACCCTGACCCAACATTTCGCTTTATCAACTCTCTTCCTTTCGCTATGCGGCTTTCAGATCGTTGGGTGGGGCTCCTGTTGTGTTGCCCCACCCTCTTCTCGCGCACTGTTTGCTCTTTGTGGTTTTCCACATCCGCTTCTCTCTTGTACTCCAGTAAAATACATCGCGCCTAACTTTACCAGATGTGTGACAGCAGTTCTCACTTTTACTTTGGTATTGTGTTTTCTCTCTGCTCCATCACACTTGCTCGCTTCACTGTTTTTCCAGTTGTGAACTCTTCGGCTCATTTGGTCCAATCACTATGGTCCATCTTTACTCGGAAGCTAATCCATGCGCCAACATTGATCCCTTTTTATCCCGTCAAATGCTGCCACTACCCTCCCTTCACGTTGTAATTCGATTTGTCAATTCAACTTCTTTGAGCATGGTGGCATTTTTAAATTAGCATTATTCCATTTATTCGTGCGTTTCACTGGTTGGGTCATCTCGATGTCATCCGGTTCACATTCCACCACTTCCAGTTGCGGTAGGCTTATTGTTTCGCATAGTTTTGGCCTCTGTTGTTTTGTAGCGGCTAGTTTTATACGAGCTACCCTTCCCGAAATTAATTGAACTGTCGGTATCTTGTGTTGGCTCGACTACACACATCTCCCTACCAGCCCGAAGGAACACGTTTTTCTGGCACGTTTTTGCGCGATGTAACATATCAAACTTTTGCTGTACTCATGAATAGGGGATTTCTCATGTGATTAATTGCAAGTTTTTCGCGGTTTTTAAGTCAGGCAGTCCCTACATGCCTGGAAAATCACTAGGTGGCCGTTTCCTCCCATTGGGATTCGTCGGTAGCCTGCATCCCTTAGTTCCATCAACACTCAAACCCATGGCCACCAGTGGCTCTCGAGAATAGCCCCGTTCTCCACAATATTTGTAAGTTGTACCCGACTGTTTCAGGCTCTCCTCGTGGAGCTGAACGGCCTGGAGATTATGGCGATAGCTGCCAACCACTCCCAACTCACGATGTCTATCTGATGAGTCCAAACGAGGATGAAACCGTTGATCTTGGTGTGCAGGGATGCGAGAAAGCAACACCGAAACCCTCCATTTCAATTTGAGTAGTAGTTAGCTCCTAAACCACGACCAACCGCCGCCGTCCTCTATGACCCAATGGCACAAGCTGCTGGTTGGTGGTGCAAGCCATTGGTGTTCGTGGGTTCTGTTCCTGAAGGGGTCGGCGGATACGCAACACTGACTAGTCCGTATAGCATGAAACCACCGTCTAGTATTTTTCTGGTTGTGTGGAAGTGATCTGGGGGCTTCTGGGAAAAACGCTCAGACGGATTTTTGTCTGTTCCTTCATGAAGCTATTAGTTCTCTCGACACAGTCAACACTTCACGGAGTTAGTTTTCGTCCCCATATGACTTAAGTGATCGTCATTGATTGCTTTCAAGTTAAGTACCCACTGTTTAGCTCATCTGATTTCTAACGAACGTATTCTGATGCTGGGCCCCAGGAGAAGAGTGCTAGGATCTTTTTGTGGCGTTCCACAAACCTACTCTGTGAAAAGTTAAATTCAGATATCAGATGGAAATAAAATAGCTTTCTTTATATAAGCACCTATCTCGACATAGAAATAATTTTACGCTGACAAAAGAATCTCTACTAGCGATATGACTCGATGTGTATGTACCTAAAACAACACATTGATGTATGGGAAATTAATGTAAATGGTAAGAACGGAAGGTTCTAACTAGTGAACCCCTGCCGCCGTGTGTATATAACTGCACGTAAACTAACAAGAACATGTACCTTGCTGGAAACTCTAAAAGTACAGTCGGAGTTAGAAAGTAAGCCCTTGTGTGTGTGAAACCCGAGACATTTTTAGTTTAGACAAAAGTATCAAGCTCTCGGTACTTAGAGGAAACATTAACTCAATGAACTTTACTCCCATTCTGAAAACCCGTTAAATGCGTTTTGCTCACCAGATATTTTATACAAAAATATCTTTCCTTATTAGTATGTTACCGTAACTACATCATCCATTCATCATCCGCACTGGCATTTTTTCCACTCCACGGTAGCCGCTTATACTAGGAGCATGTCAGTCGCTAAGATCAGGTGAGACTATGGTCATCGTTCTCATCTGAGATTGGAGCTAGATCCTTCAAATTGAGAGAGAATTTACTCTGTATAACTTCAGTTCCACTGTTTTGCGCATGGGCATCTCTGGTGATGGCCGAGCGCCACCGCTGCACGCTGGCTGTCCACTACCCGCTTCAAGTCAGGCAGTCGCTAGTCATTAAGTTGAAAATGCATCAGGTCTCGCCTACGGTTGACCTCGTATCTTTTGATGCGGTTAAAAAGGGCACAAATATTTCGGGATCTTATCGGTATTGCGTGTGCTTCACCTCGAGCACGCCCTGACTGAAGCACATTCACTTTCTCGAGATGGAACCTCTGCTCACTACGCTATCAGTTCATTAGACCAAAGGATTAATATGAAGTCATCCAAGCAAACTTCCATTGACGCTGTTCTTTTATTGACAGGAATACTGCATCAAAGATAGAGGCAGGCACTCTCAAACATAATCCAATAACCAAGCGGTGTCATTTACCCACAAAACTCCGCCGTTGGTGTTCTTTGCTCTTTCTGCTTCCCGTCCCTCACGTCTTCTCAGGACATCCAAAAATAGCACCTCTGCTGACACTCATTACCTTCATAATTAACTGTTGTAACGCTACTCTCCCTCTGCCACGCCAACCCAGCTGGGGAAGAAACTAAACACCGAAGCCTGCTAGTCCAAAGTATATTAGGCACACAACACGGTTCACTTTATAGGTTGCCCGATATCATCTCCGGTTGCACGTTCCTGACCTGATTCAAGCCACTTGCGCTGAACAAATTTCAAACATGCTTCGGTTCGCACTGGCCAGCTGTTGTCATATAGCAACCGGTGTGATGATGACGGTCTGATTTCGTCAGCTTCCGGCGTGACTCATCCGTGCTACCGCCTTTCGGGTAGCAACCCGTGTCATACAGACAGACGTCTCGAAACTGTGCCACGTTCTTAGGCTGTGGCTTGCTAGAGTGTACCATCATAACGGTTTCGCCTCCGTGATATGAAGCAGCTTAGCCTGGCTGTTTGGCTACTGATTGAATTGCAACCGTTTCATCGCCAACCGCGATGACATTATCGGTGTAAAAAAAGCTATCAGCTTCCTTGTAGATATTAGTAGATGATAGCTTTTTCCGTCTTAGGCTAGTAGCATCGAGGAGTTGAGGCGCGACACTTAAGGCCCTGAACATTGCGTGGTTGCCTATTTTACCCGCAATTCTGGATTGTATCTTTAACTGTCAAGTCAGGGGGAAGAATCGAATACTGACTGGAGTCGTTTCCCATGCGTTTTTTGCGTCCCTTGTTTGCATCTCTGGACTTTTGGTTTGTTTGATTTTCTAGTTGCAATTTGTGGTTTCACTGACGAGTCAGCGAAGGCTTGTCCGTGCTATTTTGAATCGGTGTCTAACTAACAATGTCAAGACTCGTCCGGAGTGTTACCAGGCAGTTGGATCTCGTAAAACAAGAAATCTCGATCTTTATGGGATACCCCAGTACCGGTTGCTCTTCATCCTATGCGCATGTCCAAACAAAATCTCATTGGATGAAACAGTAACTGGGACGGTGGTCTACTACTCTGTCTCCAGATTCCCATACTTTGAGACTGCATTGAGCCTTTTATAGGAGTTTCTCACTCGGGACTTTTTTCTCCATCGTTCCTCGAAGCATTTAAACGTGGTCATGGTGTCGATACGGTTACTTCTAGCTTTGAAACGAGCTTAAAAGACATCAGCAGCATACCTAGTACCGACGTTTCGTTGTCGTGCGACCACCAGCGGTCCCATCTAAGCAGGTTCGAACTGGTGGCCTGTTGATTACAAACCACATTCCTGAATCACCCGGCCACCGGTCTAGCAGTCCCCACTTGATCTTGCATTGTTAGAACGGACAGGGCAGTTGAACTCGACGATCTGCCGTTCTTGAATAACAATAACGAGTCAATAGGGTTGATATAATCCTTTTCCACAATGTGTAACATGTCAAGTCTGTGCATTCCGATTGACGGTATCCGCAGTCAGCTTTACCTGTAAGGTAGAGCTTTAAGACGGTTAAGCGGAAAGTATTGAACTTATCATCTTGTTACCGCTGCCCTCAAAACGCTCGCAAGCAGCTTGTTGTAATAACCAACAAGTTATTGAAGTGGAATCGAGGAATTTACTGTAAGGAAAGTACGCTACTGCATTCTAAAACGGTGCGGAGTACGCACGAGCTGCCTCGGTGATCTTACCTAATTCTATTCTGATGAAATTGCTTTTCTGTAACTGTCTCTTTTAGATGGGTGGACGATATTCCTTTCTGTACAACAATTTCTCAGCATTTTTCCATTATCTCATTTCTTATCCATTTCAATATCTAATGTTATCATCATTATACACCTTAGCTAGAAGTGGAATACACCTCAGCTACTGTGCCGCAGTACATATGGAAAGATAAAACACAACAGGTGCACACCAGCTGAGCTACCAATAACGGATGGACATCGTTTCGGCAAGCTACCAGCCGGTTAATATACAGCAAGAGAAATTGTATTATACAAAATTTATGTTATACTGAAATGAGATCGCGGTTGTGGGGGATGCTAAGAGGGATGGGGAGGGACAAAAAAGGCTCACAACACGAGCGCTACTGTGGTCGGCTCCCAGCCACGTAAGCAATTGTATCCAGCTAAATATCTAACGTAATCTTCATTGTCCTGACTGCCTCCACTCCTAAGTGGGTAAGTCTCTCATACATGGTCATCTCTTCCCATATCTGTTTCGGTTTATCATCTGGAACTCGCGCCTGTTGCCGCCTCTGGTACGCATCTGAACTGAAATCCTGTGTACCGGCTCGTTTCATTCAGTTGGAACTGCATGTCTACTATTTGGTTTGTATCTTTTCAGCTTCACACATTTACTTGAACGATGGGCACGTAGGATTTCTTTTTCATGGTCGGAGAAATCGTACTGAATCTTGTTCAACATGGACTTTACGTCCTCTTATTTCTCACTAATGCCATGTCAGCACGCGCAGCATATCTCCTGGTCAGCTCTTCACCGCTTGTTACCGTGATGTACGTCCATCACATTTCTGAAGGTCCGGTTGTGGCAACTTCCCTGCAAAGTTGCGTAAGTGGCTGTCTGTACCTGCGACTTTATATCCTTACTCAGAAGCTCATCCTCTGGCGACAGACCTCATTTAACCTGTTGCTCGTTTACAACGCAATTATCCAGCCTATGCTTTGCACTCCAGATTGACCACATTTTTATTACTAGATTTCTTGTTGGGAACACTTAAAGTGTAACGCACCAACCTGCTGCGGCAATTAAGCACCTTGACCTGTAGCTATGTG